AGAATTGAGCCAGGGGAGCAGATCGAATAAAGACATGAGGGCAAGAGAATGTGAAGTTACAGGATTGGATGGGTGATCAACATGGAAGCTAAAGTAACTTAAGATGAGCGTAGGAGATTGTGAGTAGAGGAAGAGAGCCAGGAGGCAAATCTGAGCGAAGGCTGGTAGGGAGGAGTAAGGTGGACAGCAGATGACAGCAAGATAGAGGGGGAGAGAAGAGTCAGATGCAAAGCTATTCAAAGACTGAGAAAGAAGGGGGAGGAAGGAGAGGTTGGAAGCAACAGGAACAGGAATCCAGGGCAAGGAGTGAGAGAGAAGCAGAAGCCTCCATAAAAGAAGGCTGTTTCAGAGGCAGTGTCACATGAAATGATCCAGCCCTCTGAGAGCAAGATAAAATGATATTGTGGATGATCTTTTGAGAGACAGACTGTGCATTTCATAATGTATACACACAAGTGGACTGAATTTAGGTTGCACAGGCAACCTTAATTCTGGCATTTCCTATCTTCTTAGTATTTGATTTTGCAGCTTTATGTTCTTTTAATGTAGAGTTTTGGGTTTTTTGGGGTGGGGGGAGATGTTAAGGAGTTTATGTGCAAGTATAATCAGTGCTGATCAGATCAGTGTCCTCTTAAAAAGAATGTGTTTGGGCAATATTAGAAGATTATTGAATGTCGCCAAAACAAGAACTTTTATCACTGGCCTGTTAGACCTTTGAGAGTAAAATTAGCCTGTATTTCAGTCTTTTCAAAAGTAGATTTTCTAATAGTAATTATGCTATGAATTAACATCTGCAGAACAACCTCAAAGCTCAAGTTTGGGTTAATGGTTGCAACTGTGAATTCTTTACATTATAAAGAGGGCCATATCACAGCTTGCACTCTTTTCCATTTCAGTAGAATCACTGGCAGCCATATCCTACTGGATGGAAATTCCTACCCTACCTAACATTTCATTCACTATACAAATGTCATCTCCCACTTTTGATCAACCCATGATGCCTCCATAGCCCACTTCTTAAGTTTTCAAACAAGCAGTTTTGTACATTCTCTCATGCTGCCCATCACACTTGGGAAGAGATGCCTGTGAACATATGCAAAACTACTCCATTATCCTCTTTCAAATACCTCCTTAAGAAACAATCCTTTTCCGTGATGCCTGTAAAAATCTTGACAACAATTAGGGTCCTGGTGTGCTGACACCACTGTCTATTATGCTGACCAATATTGTCTCATTGCTTACTCGTACTCTCCCATCAGTCTGTACCCATCTGTTGTATCTTGTTTTATACTTACACTGTAAGCTAAGGTTGCCAACTTTCCAATTGTACTAAACCGAACACCCCTGCCCCACCCCAAGGCCCTGCCCCCAATCACTCCCCCACTCCCTCTCTCCGGCACTCGCTCGCCCCCACCCTCGCTCACTTTCACTGGGCTGGGGCAGAGGGTTGGAGTGTGGGCTCAGATCTGGGGCAGGGGGTAGGGGTGAGGGACGGAGGGCGTTCGGGCTCCTGCTGGGGGTGTGGGCTCTGGGGTGGGGCTGGGGATGAGGGGTTTGGGGTGCAGGAGTTGGTGCGGACTCTGGAAGGAAGTTTGGGTGTGGGAAGGGACTCAGGGCTGGGGTAGGGTGTTGGAGTGTGGGAGGGGGTGCAGGCTCTGGAAGGGGGCTGGGGTGAGGGCTCTGGGAAGGAGTTAGGGTGTGCTTACTTGAGGTGGCGCCCGGTCAGCAGCGCAGCAGGGCTAAGGCAGACTCCCTGGCTCTGCGTGGTTCCCGGAAGCAGCTGACATGTCCGACTCCTAGGCGCAAGGGCAGCCAGTCGGCTCTGCGTGGTGTGTGCTGCCCACACCAGGAGGTACCGCCCCCACAGCTCTCACTGGCCGCGGTTCCCGGCTAATGGGAGCTGAGGAGCTGGCGCTCGGGGCAGGGGCAGTGCACGGAGCTTCCCTAATCGCACCTGCGCCTAGGAGCCGCAGGGACATGCCAGCCGCTTCCGGGAGCTACATGGAGTCAGGGCAGGCAAGGAGCCTGCCTTAGCCCCACTGCACCGCCGACCGGACTTTTAACAGCCCGGTCAGCGGTGCTGACTGGAGCCGTCAGGGTCCCTTTTCTACCGGATGTTCTAGTGGAAAACCGGACACCTGGCAACCCTACTGTAAGCTCTTTGGGGCAAGTAGCATCTGTTTGCACAGCACCTAGCAGAATGAGGTCCTGGTTCGTGATTAGGACTCCTATGTATTATGGTAATACAAATAAGGGAATATTTTTCATAGTTCCACTTTATGCAAGTGACATTTTATTGTCTAATTTGGAAACTTAAGAAATCAATTTGGGACTGATTTTTTACCAGAAAGTAAGTGACAGAAGAAACAGTAGCTATGATGTTAAGTGATAGAAAATATTGATAATAAAGCAAATTCAACTGAAACTAAAAGGCATGTACCAACAGGGACCTGATACTGCTTCCAATTAAGAGTTTTAATGGAAACAAGATCATTCTCTAGATCTAAAAGTCAGTTACCCTGATTCAAAGCCCAGTGAAGTAAATGAGAAGACCCCTATTGACTTCAATAAGTTTTGGATAAGGCCTTGAAATAACTAGTCCAAAAATTAAGAGATTAAAAATGGTGATCATCTGTTGTGACATTATCTTTCCTACACAGAGCAACAATTAATCTCACTATCTTCTAAGAATGCTATTTTGGAACCAATACTTTCCACTAGAAATCCTCACAAAATAGACACAAATAACTGATAAATATCAAGTTGCAACATGAAATGGGAACAAAGAAAAAATACAATTCTTGAAATAGAGGTCAACCCTGCAAAATTTATAGTTATAATCCTCTGCAACTCAATTAAAGTTATTGTTGGAAAGGATCAGAAATGATAAAACTGAATGGCTATGGACTGAAAAAAGGAATGTGACACCACTGAAAAAAATTACTACTTATTGTCCAATAATGCCCCCAAGAAAATAATTATATGAACTGATCCTTGCTTTCCGATGTTTTCAACATTGGAATATATGAAGAACAAATAATACTTGGAGGGATATTTCAGTTCAGAAGTAAACGCCATTTATGTCCCAGATTATTTTATACAGGGAAATACAGGTGTTTTAAAAAACAAACCAAACACAATTACACCAAAAAAGTAGGTTAGAAAGCCAATTGTTTTAATCTTACAGTTAAGACATTTACAAAACCATAATACTACAAGTATCAGGGGGTCGCCGTGTTAGTCTGTATTCGCAAAAACAACAAGGAGTCCGGTGGCACCTTAAAGACTAACAGATTTATTTGGGCATAAGCTTTCGTGGGTAAAAAATCCACTTCAGATGCAAGGTTAATACTACAATTAACACTAGCCTCCTGGTAGCTCAGTTTACAAGGAAATTACAAGATAAACAGATCTCTCTGGTCAAGAAACAAATAGGAATGAATTATAACTTTACAGACAATTAGCTGATAAAAGGAAATTAAACAGGCAATTTCTGCAGAGGATTTGAAGTATCTAAAACAAACCACTGTGAAAAGTTCATGTCACCCGCAAGAAGAAAACAATGAAAAATCATTGTTAGATAATCTTGCACACTAAGCCTTACAAAACAGAAGAGAAAAAAAAAAATCACAAAATGCTGACGGGAATGCCATGGTACAGGGAACCATATTCTATCTTCTGGAAATGTCTAATTGAAAAAAAAAAAAAAATCTGCTCTGAAGTCAGAAAAACTGATCAACTGGTATTTCAAGGATACCATAAATTCCTCAAAGAAGAGTCCTGGGTCAACTGAAGTAAAAAAATATAATTAAGGCCCAAATATTGCTTGTCTTACTTGTATGAACAAGGCAAGCAGGACTTGGCCCTATGCTTTGAAGAAATCCCACTATTAGTAACATTAGTGTGGAAGGATGGAGCAACTGGCACAAACTGATTAAAAACAAATTACTGAGAACTTTTGAGAAACAGTATATGTATAGCCTTTGTATAACCTAACTAATATTGTCTAAATCTGTAATATTTTGTTATTCTGCAACCTGATGCCCCCTTTTATTGTTTAAGAAAATAATCTGCACTTTTAATAAATCCAATAATCATTTACAAAAAAATATTAACTAAAAAGGGGGATTAAGCTATACTAAATTTAAAATACAATTAAGATGGTTACACATGTGAATTGAAAAGATGGTTTAATATACTTCACCACCAGTACCTTTGATTCATAAATATAGTAATCTGCTTTCTGGTGTATGCCAACATGATAGCCTGGGGGCATTAGCTGCACTTTAAATTACAGGTGGAGTTTTACTGAAATCACACTGTCCAAAGGAAAAGTGAAAAGTTTAAGATTTGTAGAAAATCCTCAGTGGGGAGAAAAAACTCCCTAAATAATATTGGGCTTTTCAGTCTTATTTTGGATTGATAAGAGACACTTAGTCTTTGTTCAGAGAACTATTATCACTATATCCAGCCCTTGTTTTTTAAAACATTCTGGATAAATCTGGGAAGGGCTACCAGTCTCTTGTGAACTTGTCAGATAGAATACTGAAGAGATTGAGGTATGCAAGATGTACTCAATACCAGTCTTAAAACACAATCTTCCCTACTATTATAAGCTTCACATACTAGCCTTTTGAGATAATCAAAAAATTTAATTACACCTCTACCTCGATATGTGACCTGATATAACACGGTAAAGCAGCGCTCTGGGGTGGGGGCGGAGGGGCTGCGCGCTCCGGCAGATCAAAGCAAGTTCGATATAATGCGGTTTCACCTATAACGCGGTAAGATTTTTTGGCTCCCGAGACAGCGTTATATCGGGGTAGAGGTGTACTTAAAGTCATTGAGACAGGACACCTTTCCATAACATTTAAGAAGCTATACCTCAACTCACTAGGTAGTCTGTTAAAGCAATTTCACCAACCAATGAAATAACTCGTAATGATTACAGAATTTAAACTGATGCAGTTTGGCAAAAAAAATTAATGATGTTTCAGTACCTTGTCTTCCCTCATCATTGGTAAACAAACCAGCATCACTGCTGCTCAGGCTGCTGGATTCACTGTAATAAAGAAAAGAAAGAACAATTGATCTCGCACTTGTAAAATTTTAAAGAGAGGAGTCTGTTCTCAGATAGAACTTAAGCCTGACAAAAATCTGAAAGAAAATAAAATTTTGTTTTTAATCAAACTGCAAATATCCTAGTTCCATTAACTACAGAACATATTATTTTTGTCACATAAAACTACAGGAATCTAATGGGACCCTGACAGTAAGCCAGATGTGACTGCAGCAAGGAGCTGACACAATTGATGCATTTTATCATCTGCTTCCATCAAATACTCACTGCTCGTCTATTGCTATACTATTCAGCTTGATCCCAGAACACCACTGCTCAATAAAATGGGGGGGAGGGAGATATCTCAAAACAAAAGCAGTCTAAGCCTTTCTTCCAACACATGAAATACAAGAGTCTGGAGAAGGAACTACTGTTCTTAACATTTGCAAATATTCTGGACAAAACATTGCTTAAGGATTCACTACAACTATTTTCCTTGGTAAGAAAGAAAAGTTTGCAACAATGACAATCCATTAAATCAAAGTAAAGGTCACCCTGAGAAAAATGAATATGATCAATATGATTATAACAGCAAAAGAGAAAATGCAGGCTATAATTTACTTTTCTGTAACTTCTGATGTGGCCTTAAACAAGATGTCTGTCTATAAGATGGATGCACAGCACACACACACACACACATACACTCCTATATATAAAATTAGAGCTCATGGATGAGGGTGAAGTGTTTTGTTCTCCCTTGGTTGTACACAACCATCTCACGTTATTGTAAATTAAAAGTGTGTGTCTAAATATTAAACCAGCCTCCTGTGCTTAAACTATAGCACAGACCATGACACTGAGTTTACATCTGGGGTGAAGGTTAAGTGGAGAAATGCTTTTATGTTCTTCAGGGAACTGTATTCTCACAATACTATATATATATATATATATTTTTTTTTTTTTACAGTGAAGTATGGATTAATTTTTAAAAAAAATATGTCAGTTCACCTAAAGACATGAAATCAAGAAAAAGGTGTGCATTTCAAATTAATTTTCAATGTAGTATGCTTTTATGCATGTTACGTTAAGGAAAATTAAACACCTTAAGTATTTTCCTGTATTATATAGCTTGTCTTCAATATGAAGCAAAATCCACTTCATTTTATATATTTCAACCTAGACACCAACTTATAAGTATTTTTAAAAATATATATTTCATTTTTGGTTTCATTCCTCACACCCATTCTTAAAAGTTAGCTCTAAACCTTACTCCTAAATTAGCTGTTTTAACTGCTTTTTGGTTTAGACATGAATTTGCTTGCTGGGGGGAAAAAATTGAAATTATTTAGTTTTCCCAATTTCTCTCTCAGAAATTGAAACCAGAATTAGTTTTAGGTTTGGGAAATATCTGACTTCAGCTTCTAGAACTAATTATATGGTTAATTGTTTTTATTGTTCAAACAGGGCTTGAAATTGGGCCTGATGTAGATAGCCAAGCAGCAGTGACTTGCTAATATGTGCAGCTGTCATATTTCTTAAAGATGTGTTCTAAAACTCTGCCATATCTTCTTCTGTATACAGTAACTTCTTACTATATAAGCAGCACTTACAATCTCTTTTATCCCAGTACAGTAAGAGACTTAAGCACTTTACTAAAGATAATGGTCCTCAATACAAAGATGGCAAATCTTATGCGCTATAAAAGTGATCAAGCAGAGCTTGAACCTTGAAATGCTATAAAGCTAAGCAAATCCTAGTGCCTTCTTTTTGCAAAATATCCCCTCCTTGCTTAATTCCATCAGACAGTTCTGCATACTTTTACAATTATAAATGTCCTACAATTTTACATCACACATTTTAAAAAAAAAACTAACTTTTTTATTAAAGTTTCCAATTAAAAAAAAAAAAATTTAAAGTTCAGGAATCCTTTCAGCCATTTGAATTTTGGGAAACAAGACCAAAAAAAAAAAAAAATTTTTCTTTTTCCCCACCACACACACACAAGTTCCCATTTTATAAGGGCTTGCGTATACAAACACTTACTGAGTTCATGGCAAGCTGAGGTGTAAGTCCATCCCATACTATCCTGCAGCCCACTAAACATCCATGTAGATTCTGCTGCCACACACTAAAAGTTCCATCCATAGACAGCTCTGATCCACCCACTTTGAAATGGGAATGGATTAAAGTGCATTAAGGAAATATTTTAGATAGGTGGAAAGCTTCAACCAAACGGTTAATTCTAAAAAAGAAATGTGATGTAAAGTTGTGGGACATTTAGAATTGCGAAATATACAAAACTGTCTATGGTGGAATTAAAGTGAGGATGGGATACTTTGCAGAAAGAAGAAACTAAGATTTGCTTTATAGTATTTCAAGATTCAAGCTGTGATTGACCATTTTAAAGATCATCAGCAGGGTCTATACAGATATTTACTGCAAGGTAAATTTATACCCCATCTTGCCATGAACCAAACTGTTCTTACAGGCAAACCTTAAGAGAACCATACTCATCTCTTCCCTTTAAGTTTGCAATTTGAACTTTGGTACTTAAGTAATCTTCACTGAGGCATTTGCTCTTGATCAATTTATATAGAGTGGTGCCATACAATAAAAGCTTTAAGCATTTGAAGACTTCTGCAGAGCATGCTCAATAGATGTAGATTTTTAGCATAACACAATGAAGCCCCTGCCTCTGTTGGGGCATCATACTATAGGCACAGGGACTGCTGGGAGAATTGTAAATGTGGAAGATGTGTCCCATTGAAATATACACACAGGAAAATCATCCAGAAAACAAAGCCTTCATATGTGGACAAATGAAAATTGGCATGGCAGACTTGATAACTCTGGATTCTAGAGTTCAAATGTGACTCAGCAGTATTACTGAAGCCATGAATCTTACTAAGATGTTTTCAGTAATTTACCTCTGTGTGTCTGCACACAGTTTTAGGAAGACATTTTTATCTCTGCCAATGCTTTCAGAACACAATAGTAGCACAGAGGCTTGCTAGTATGTTTCTTGTTCCTCTTGTGGGATAAAGTGATAGAATCATACAGTAGTAATGCATGTAATGGGCACCATCAAGTTGAAGTCTAGCCAATTGAAAATTAGAGTTAAAAGTAGTTTGAGTACTCCATATGCCTCTGAATCTCGTCAGATTTTGTGGTTTTGCAGTCACATTTTCATCCTTTTTTTTTTCTTTATAAAGAAAAAAAAAAGTTTCCCTGCCCCCTGTTGTTGTGTTAAAGACACACAAACAGGTGAAAATGGCAAAATTGACTGTAAAGTGCTGACAAATGACAACATAAACAAACTGCAAACAGAGAAAGTTTTCTCTGAAACTATAAGGACCTTAGCTGTTACAGTATTACTAAGTAAAGTATTTCCAGAAAGGAGCATGTTTTTTAAACTGATAGTGTCCCCTTGAAGCACAAGAATAGATGACAAGTGGAATCCATAAGGGATAGTCATTTTTGTACTTGAAATCAGCAAGCTGCCCTTTTTTGGGTGTTTGGAGGATTTTCCCCTGACCTTGGTTCCCTCCACCCAAACACTGGATACATGAGTTTTGCACTGAAGTATTTTTACCCTCCTCTGGCACAAGACATTTTAAAAAGTGTTAAAATTAATTTTTTTTGTTAATGAGAGTACAGGACAAACATGATGGAATCTGAAAGCGTTCCAGACACAAAGGCCCCAACAAGACCTACTTCTGGTCCAATACAAGTATGAAGACACTATGAAATTCAGTCTCTTTTCAGTGGCAAGGTGACTCAGGATTCCTGTTGTGATTTAAAAACTGTCTACAGTTCTCAGAAAACAGATGGAAAGAGTATAAAAAGCAACTTCTATAAATACTATCCCCCTTATTGTTTTCTAAATAATTGGAATCAGTAACTTACCAATACTGTTATGCTACTGAATAAGTGACCTCTCTTCTTGCACTAGCCAAGAACCTATGCATGCCATCGCTACAGCACACCTAAACTATGGCCAACAAGCAAAAGATTCAATGCAGTTTATAGATAAGACTCCTACAACAAATGAGGAACACTGTTGCTGTCTAGCCTCTAGATTGCCAGAATGTATGTCTTAAATAGGAGTTGCCCCGCTCACAGTTCTGCATTCAGAACCAAACACACTGGATAAACATGATCAGGATCATCAGACCCTGCAGGTAACATCACTTGTGTGTGGTGGAAAATGACACCTTACTGTGTTTCCAAAGTACTATTTTGACAACAATTACTATTATGGTATGCCTGCTGTCTGGAACAGATTGATGAGGCATACTGCCAAAAGGTCATCATTATCCCATTTTTCTAATGGCAAGCTCAGGTGTTTCTGAACTATAAATTGGTTTTTGCATTTTGTAAGTGATGTGCATTCTTGGCAATCTATAGACTTTTTATGCCCATGACACACAGACTGTCTAGCGGGTGTATCCATATACTCTACTGATAATCTTCTGATGAATACCAGCAACAACCAAAGCACCAGCGCCTAGAAGTTGGAAAATCTAAGCTATTTAATTACCTTGTGTGTGATTAAGTGCTAGTTCAAATACCATGCATAATACAATAATGTAACATTTAAGTCATTTTTAAATTCCTGTTTTCTTGGTCTTAATATTGAAACAATTAGTATAAATTTTCTTCAAGTAATTGTTACCTTTGAAATTTCTCTGCCACCCATCAGATTTCCTCTGAATGAATTGCTATAATTTAACATTATACAACACGTTTGAAGTAGCAGTATTCTAGTATTACTGGATCAGGAAAGACCCCTAACATTAACTGCTTAAAACATACTGCTATTGACTGCATTTTAATTTTGGAATAAAGAAAACAAGACTTGTCAATACCTACACCACTACAGTAGCAATATAAGAATTTTGTTTCAGTCGATAGAAAAAGAAAAAACAAATCAATCAATCACCTGTCACTCATGTTCTCATCTGAACCCTTTTGCTCCTCATACTCCATTTTGTCCTTATTTGCCTGGTTCGCTTCTTCACTCTCTATAACCACTCCTTCATCCAAGATTTCTGGTCCTTGCCTAGTTGTAGCTAGTTTTCTTTTTTTCACTTTGCTCTTGGCAAATTCTTGATGTTGGTAAGATCTATTATCATTATCCATTTCTTGATCTCTGCTGTTATCCTGTTGTTGGGTCAATGTTAGTGTATTCGTGACTTCTGATGGTGGATCTATTGCCATGCGTTTCACCTTCCTCCTCCTACGCAGGGTCCTGTTTCCTAAATTGTCAAGAGCCAAATCAGACTCATGCCACAGAGGTCTTTTGCCTCTAATGTTATTTAAATTTGAAGAAGGCCTGCGTTTAGCAACCAACAACTGATCATCAGAGTCACTGTGGTCTTTCTTATTAGTAGTATGATTCTCTCTATAGTCCTTGCTTGGTTCTTCTAGACTGGAATCAGAACCTTCACTTAAACAGTGACTAGTCTCCCAAGGATGATGAGTGGTAAATGAACGTCTTTTTCGTCCTCTCCTTTTCCTTGCCTGGCGTTTTAGAAGACAAGACACGCTGCGAGAGTGATCTCCAGTATCAGCAAAACCTCCTCTGGCTTGCTCTGAACTTTCTTCCAGTGCTGAGACCAGATCATGAACTAGTTCCTCCATAGTCCTACTGAAATGCCTACATATGCAGAGAAAAAACAAAAACAAAACCGATTACAATGTGTATCAACTTCAGCAGTATGTTTTCATATACCAATATCATTAGTGTCAAAGACCGTCTTATGATCAGCACTTTTAATGCCGTTGTAGTTCTACAGAAAGCTGTCTTCTAAATCAGCCAATACTACAACACACTTATGAGGAGGCTTTCCCTTTATAATGTCACTCTCTCTCCTAACTTCCATCTTAACAATAACAGCCCCTTCAATTTTTGGCAGTCCTCCTAATATTGCTTTTATTTACGGATATTTCATCTCAACATCATAGTTTTCAGGGGTTTAATCTGTCAGCTGTGAAGACTGGCAAAACCTGTCAATATACAATTAGAAGCAAGTGAGCACATTTTAAATGATCTACAAAGTAGGAAATTGAATATACATTTTTTTCTCCTTTATAGTATATTATTAGGTACAACTTTAAAAGTTGTCACTAGAATAAAATGTTTGTGACACTCTGTATCTCAGGGGAACACCCTGCACCCCCATGTTCGTCCTTATAATACGATTGTGTGGTATCCAATGCAAAGTTTGTCATGTCGGGTGTCTTCGGAAGGCTCATGATGCACTGAGCATTGTTATTGTAGTAATGTTATAGTAATGTTAGAGGTTGTAATTTCTTGTATATAGTTATGAGGCTGAAAATGTGTCCTCGTGGCTTAAAACAAGCCCAGGCAAAACTCTCCAGAAACAGAGGGGCAGTTTACACCTCATCAGGGTATGTATGGGACAAACCCAGCCCAGCCTCACAGGAACAAGGACACTGGCCTAGGCAGCAACAAAGGACGTGTTGGACTCTCGAGTGAGTCACCCCCCTTCCCTTGGTCAGTTTGGGACTAGGATAAAGTAATGCTCACTTGACCCTGAAGGGAGGGGGGAAGGGCGCGGGGGGCAAAGCCAAGAGGGAAGAAAGGACATGATAAAGGGGAGAAACGTTTGCCATGCTCGCTCTCCTCTTCCACCTCCATCTACAGACACCACCACCAAGTGACTGAAGCGCTGATCAAAGGGGAGAGCCTGGCTGAAGGGCAACCAGCCAGCCTGTGGTGAAAATGTTTGTAAGGGCACTGAAAGTGTTAAGATCAGCTTAGAATATGTTTTGCTTTTATTTCATTTGACCAAATCTCACTTGTTGTTCTTTGACTTATAATCACTTAAAATCTATCTTTTATAGTTAATAAATCTGTTTGTTTATTCTACCTGAAGCAGTGTGTTTGGTTTGAAGCGTGTCAAAGACTCCCCCTGGGATAACAAGCCTGGTACAGATCAATTTCTTTGTTAAACTGACAAACTCATATAAACTTGCAACGTCCAGTGGGCATAACTGGACACTGCAAGTTGGAGGTTCCTAGGGTTGTGTCTGGGACCGGAGATATTGGCTAGTGTCATTCGGTTGCACTATCAAAGCAGTGGCTAGCCAAAAGTTCTCACTCACATTCTGGGTTGTGCATGCTAGAAGTTGTGCATGAACAGCCCAGGAGTGAAGGTTCTCACAGCGAAGCAGGGTAGGGCTGGCTCCCAGAGTCAAGGATTGGCGTGACCTAGCAGATCACCGGTTCAGATAACACCAGGAGAACGTCACAATGTTGTCACAAGATAATTGTCTCTTGATGCTACCTAAATGCCAAGATAAATCTGAAACACTAATTTTTTGATTATGTAAGATTTTTAATAGTGACTAATTGTCTTCCCAAAAGACTGATATCTATTTGATCTTTAAAAATATTGATTCACTAGAGAGACAGTAAGTTGAGAGAACCTTCCCCCTAAATGGAATTCTAGAAGATTAAAGGCAAAGTTTTCCTTTCTGATCTACACACTCACATCAGTAGGAATCGCACAACTTTATGAGAAAACAGACTAAGAGGCATCATGCAGATATGAGGAAAGAATTTTACTCTGCACCACAGCTCACATCACTTCACTAGCATTAAAAAACCATGGCTGGCCCGTGATAACTGCCTCAGACTTGCGGGACCTGCTTGGGCTACAGGGCTGTTTCATTGCAGTGTAGACTTCTGGGCTCAGCCCGAGCTCTGGGACCCTCCCACCTCACAGGGTCTTAAAGCCTGGGCTCCAGCCCAAGCCCAAAAGTCTACACAGGGTTCCGCAGCCTGGGAGCCTGAGTCAGCTGGCACAGGCCAGCCACGGCCATCTAACTGCAATGTAGACATACCTATATTTATCACCAAGTATACTTCAATAGGCTCACACATGTGTGTACTTGAGTAAAAAAAAAAAAACCTAAAGCCAAAACAATAAGATTTACTGCAGAACACCCAAGTGAAGGAATCAAAACAAATTGATCAGACTGACACCAAAGTAATTAGCCTCCTTTCTTCTAGTGCTCACTACTGTGTTATGCCTGGTGACATATAGTGGAAGAACATTGATCAATAAATTGTGTAGGTGAGTGTCCAGAAGAAAGCTGTTCATATAGTTTTAGAACAGGGCAAAAGGAGACATGAGTCAGCCATTTTCTACCAACATCAGCAGGTTGCAAATGGAGACAGACTTTAGTCATACAGCACACAAGTTTCCCCTACTCACTCACCCATCACTGACCCCAGGCCTAAAGGTGCTAAGCAGGATGGTCCAATGGTTACACACCAACATGAGGCAGGATACCTGAGCTCTCTTTCCTGCTCTGCCTGTGACTTGTTGTATAATCCTGGACAACTCACTTAACTCATTGTGTCTCAGCTTCCCTATATAAAATGGGAATACCACCACCTTCTTAAATTTCTTGAGTTCTATGGACCAAGAGTACTAGGTGAATTCTAATTTAGTTATGAAAAAATTCAAATTCACCATTAAATGTTTTACCTACAAGGAGACGTCTCTTGAACTGTGCTGCTATTTTTAGTAGTTTCAGAAGTAATTTAAGAAAATAATTTGTGCCAGCTGTAAGACATATCACCATAATCATAAAGACAGAGTAGTACAGTCTACTATCTCAATTTTGATAAATACACGATGCCAAACTGTACGTATGTTTACTTTTCAACTCTTTTTCTACGCCTGCTATAATGACTGAACTCTTATTCCGGTCACTCCTTGACATAACCAGGCATTTCTTGTGCTCCTTGCTAATTACAAGCAACACCTTGGCAGCACCTTCCAGGAATGTGCACCTTTCTGGCACTCACCTTTGAGCAAGAAACACAAATCAGGTACCAGTACTTTTTGCTTCTCCTTAGTCCTTCTGGCTCTCACAAGAAATCATTTTCCTTGCTTTTGAGAAATAACTACAGTAGATATCAGCGAAAGAGGTAGTATAAATAATAATAAATTTATAAATAAAGCATTGTTTATCGAAAAATTCAGACAGAATAAAGTAACTGGTAGCCAATCAAATCTACAGATTGGCTGACAGCCTAGTTATACAGGAAAATCTTGGAATAGGTCCATTTTTACATTTTTAGATTTGATAAGTTTCTCTATTTCTGCCATCTTCTCCTTCTCTCCCTTTCTCGTGACTTGTCTACACTACAAATTTTAGCCAACACTATGGCTGTAGTAATGCAAACCATGACTTGCACCAGAGCAGCTTACACCGGTTTCAAAGA